TCCCAGATGCGAGACTCTACACTTGGCCTTGTTGTATTTCATCGAATTTCTCCCCACCTAGGTCTCTCTGAATGGCAGCACAGCCTTCTGGTGTGTCAACCACTCCTCCCAGTTTTGTGTCATCAGCAAACTTGCTGACAGTGCACTCTGTTCTCTCATTCAGGTCATTGATTAATATATTGAATAGTACTGGTCCCAGTACTGACCCCTGAGGGACTCCACTAGATACAGGCCTCCAACTAGACGCTGTCCCATTGACTTCCTTCCTTCAACCAATTCACAATCCACCTCACTACCCAATCATCCAGATCATACTTCCTCAATTTAGCTGTGAGAATGCTGTGGGAGATGGTGTCAAATGCTTTACTGAAATCAAGATAAACCACATCCACTGTACTTCCATCATCTACCCACCCAGTTATTAAGATAATTGGTAATAATACCAATATTACCTATAGTAATATTGGCAAAAATAATACTGGACAGAAAGACAGCTGGGAACAGCAGGCATAGATTTACCAATGCCAAAGTGTATTGACAAACTCAATGTATGACTGGTTGTATGGATAAGGCAATAGTAGTGGATGCTGTGTACCTTGACTTTAGCAAAGTCTTTGACATGGTCTGGCTGGACTACCAAAGGGCAGTGATTAGTTGTACAAAATCCAACTGGTGGCTCGTTACTAATCGAATGCCCCAGAGATTGATACTGTTGAATGTCTTATATTAACGACCCAGATGATAGAATAGAGAGCATTCTCAGCAAGTCTGCAGATGATAAAAGATTGGAGAGAAAGCTCCCAGCTATTAAGGAGCAGCTCAACAGGCTGAAAAAAATTGGCTGAAAGAAATCTCATGAAATTCAGTGGAGGCAAAATGCAAGTCCTGCATCTTGCTTGGTTTGAAACACCTTTAAGCAACAAGACAGGCAAGGACCTGACCAGCTAAAAGGCAGCCTGGGGGTCCTGACAGACAGTGTACCCTGTGGCCTGCAGCAAAGGTGGCCACTGCACACCGGATCATATTAGCAAGAATGTAGCCGTGAGGGCAAAGGATGGTATTCTTTATTTGGCATTTGTGAGTTTGCACCTGGAGTACCGTGTCTGGTTTTGGATCCCTTGATCAACACCAACATTGAAATACTGGAGTGAGCCCACCCAGGTGACAATGTACTTTTAATAATATACAATTGTGACCATTTGAATTTACTTGAGAATATACACCTAATTTACAACCATGATGAAATTTAAACCAAAATGGGAATAGAATTGCCATATTTTGTGAAGACTGTGATGTCTGCAGATTATCAAAGTCAGATTAATGAGATTTTATTGCACAGTATTAGCCACAGTAAGAATTTCTATATCTGCTAATAGCCATCAGTAGCGGGAGATTCTAGAATTTGTCACAGTGACTTGAACTAAAATGATAAGGCAGTGTGTCAACTGCACATGCAGACAAAAGAAGCAGTCCTGGATACAACTGAGCACCAAAGAGAACTTATTCCAGCTACAAAGATTAAATCTCACCAATCTTGTTGACTACAAATCGTAAAGATGTTACTCAGAATCAGTATCTGACACTCCAGGTCAATCACACTTTTTCAATGTACTGTTTATGTACACTCAGATTCTCTGATGAACTTACTGCAATGCAAAGAACAAAGCTGGTGTGACTTACTTCTGCCAGCAGAATATATCTCCTTTTTTCCAGGTAATTTTTCCACATTTTGGAAGAAAATCGCAGGCATGGACTTTATTTAAAAAGTAACAAAAGATTTTTATTTTTTTTTTCTTTCAGATGCTCTGGTCATCTAAACTGTTTTGTCACCTTTAAAAGGTAACACCTTTAACAGGTGACAAAATACAAGGCTTATAAGAAAGCAGTGGATGGAAAAGCAATCATTACATCAACTTATATTATATGACTGCAATTAACACCTACCCATCACCCAGCCTGTCAAACCACTGTTGAATAAAGGAACATAATGGGAGAATAGAAATGGCTCTGAAATTAAACTCATAAAATTCAAAGGAGTTGGCCAACTAAGGAGAGAAACAAGTAGAAAATCCCTTCCAACTGATTCTGCTACCTACCTGCATTCTTTAAGAGTTGTAAATTAGACTTGGAATGAAGGGTCTTGTTCACAAACTGCAGCCTTGTACACAGTCACTTTGGCTCATATTCTGTTTGTGCCATCTTTACAGAAATAGTCGTCCTGTCCTTGCCTTCATAGGACATATGCCTACCATTCTCACATATTCAGGCAGAGGAGAGGTCCTCTCACTATAAACATATAGACACCATCATTCCCAAAGCCATCTCCCACAACGCAAGAACCTCCATTACTCTGCTGAAGTAGATGTGACTGCACACAATAAAAGCCCTTCTCTGCAAGCCATGGGAACTCTTACATCACTATTTTCCAGAGGAACAGAAAATCAAATAAATTACATTTTACTGCAAGGAAAAAAAAAAACATTTCATTGAATAGTGAGTTGAGATCAGATGAATGAATGTTATCCCTGAAGCTATGACAGAGCCAGAGGAAGGTTTATTTACCTTGCCGGAGATAGTAAATCACAAGATTCAGTCTTGCCTCAGGAATAACATCAACCAGAGGAGGCAGGACCTGCAAAGCCCCTTCTCCTCCTCGGAACACCACCTGCAGAGAAAAGCAGCATATTGGTAACAGTGTATCAAAATCTTTTATATTATCTCTTAATTCAAGGAAGATAATCCTTAAATTCCTGTATTAACAGTATGAAAAGGTCAGTGGTACTGGCATTAGCATAATCCCTGGTTTAATATAACTATAGAATTACGATGTGTGACAATCTTTATTCTGAAGACTATAAAGTATTTAATCCATCTGTAAAGATTAACTTATTTCAGCTTTTAGCAGCCCAGAGCAGTGATAAATTATACATCAAAGATTTTAAAGAATAATATGGTCTGAAACAAGAGCAAGGGGAACACATACTGTTACCCAAATACTGGATCAGTAACTCTCCAAGACCAATGTGTAGGTTTCAGAAAGCAAGGCATTCTTTCATTGCAGCGCTGGGCGCACACGCGAATCATTTTGCAAAGGTGAGTGCTTTTTGGTCGCATGGTTACACCTCTATAGACCTTTCGATTATACATTGATCATCTGTCCCCGAAAAGGCGGTGTTACTCTAATGGTTTCCCAGAAATGTTTTACATAGGTTCCTTCCCCCTTGCGCATGCTCTATCAAGCAGAACTAAACGGGCTGGTGGTCTTTTGAGGGGCTCTAGTGGTTGTCCGTAGTCTCCCTCACGATGTCCTCTAGTTGAATCCTCCTTCTAGACCACAAGCCAGGGCCCCTTTTCTGATGCAACCTCTTGTTTATTCTGCAACCAGAACAAACAATCAATCGTATAGATATTTTCTAGGCGTCTCCTTAACATCCGGCATGTGTGGATAGCTTTGTCTCCTTGATGTTTCCTTAATATCTGGAGCTTTGTCTCCTTGATGTCTATCTGGTATGTATAGCTTTGACGGCGTTCCTGCTGTTCCTGGGTTTCTGCAGTTTCTGTACACTCCTCTTTCATCAGCAAACAGGCAACGCAGAATTTCATGACCCAAAGTTTCACAACCCCTAATTCAGATGTTAGCAAAACCAGAATTCATATAAAAGTAGAAAACTTCACTTCATCAATACAGAATTACAATTTGCTCACAATATATTAATATGAAAAAATTAGGCTAACAACTCTACACTTATTTAGAATGCCACAAGATCCTAAAATAATCAGGAGCAGTCAATTCTTTATACTTCAGTTTCACATGACAGTTCCTCCAACAAAATCTAACACACCTATTGAATAAACCACTGCCAAAAAGACCAACATTCAAAATAAAGAATGTTGACTTACAAAAGTCCAGTTTGAAAGCAGTTTTAACTTTTGGGGAAAAAAGTGTTAGTTTGTTGTGACTGCTCTTGAAAAACAACAAAGCGAGCAACGGCCCATCATTAAATAAGAACAATCTACTATTACCAGTTGTTCCTCAAAGTAGTAACACCACTGCAGGGAAAATTAACAAGTGATTAGTGACTCTTTTACTGCAGAACACA